GTCCACATCTGTATACAGTGAGGAAAATAATTATTTGATCCCCTGCAGATTTTGTAAGTTTGCCCACTTACAAAGAAATGAAGGTAAGTTTTTACCATAGGTGTATTTTAAATGATAGGGACAGAATATCAACCAAAATCCAGAAAAAAAAAAACACGATACAAATGTTACAAATTGAGTTGCAGTTCAGTTAGTAAAATAAATATTTGTACCCCTACCAACCAACAATAATTCTGGCTTTCACAGACTCATGTGCTCATGTGGTACAGAGATTAGTCCTGTCAATTTAAGAAGGTGGTCCTAAGGACAACTTGCTATGTGTATAAAAGACACCTGTCCACAGAATCTCTTTCTTGGGCACCACCATGGGAAAGACCAAAGACCTGTCATGGGACATCAGGGACAAGATTGTAGACCTGCACAAGGTCGGAATGGGCTACAAGACCATCAGCAAGAAGCTTGGTGAGAAGGAGACAACTGTTAGAGCGATCATTCACAAATAGAAGACATACAAAAAACCATCAATCATCCTCGGTCTGGAGCTCCATGCAAGATTTCGCCTCATGGGGTAAGGATGACCATGAGAAAAGTGAGGGATCAGCCCAGAACTACACGGGAGGAGCTTGTGAATGATCTGAAGGCAGTTGGGACCACAGTCACCAAACAAACTATTGCTACCACAATACACCGCCATAAATTAAAATCCTGCAGCGCCTGCAAGGTCCCCTGCCTCAAGAAGGCACATGTACAGGCCCATTTGAAGTTTGCCAATGAAAATCTAAATGATTCAGAGAAAGACTGGGAGAAAGTGCTGCGGTCAGATGAGACCAAAATTGAGCTCTTTGCCATTAACTAAAATGTGTATGGAGGAAGAATAATGCTGATTATGACCCTAAGAATACCACCCCTACAGTCAAGCTCGGAGATGGAAACATTATGCTTTGGGCCTGTTTCTCTGCTAATGGTACTTTGCCGCATTGAGGGGCCAATGGACGGGGCCATGTATTGTAAAATCTTTGATGAGAACCTTCTACCCTCAGCCAGAACACTGAAGATGGGTCGTGGATGAGTCTTACAGCATGTCAATGACCCAAAACATACCACCAAGGCAACAAAGGAGTGGCTCAAGAAGAAGCACATTAAGGTCATGGAGTGGCCTAGTTAGTTTCCAGACCTTAATCCTATACAAAATGTATGAAACTTCAGGTTGGCAAGCAACATCCAAGAAGCCTTAAGGATTTACAGAAGATCTGTAAAGAGTCTGTAAAGAGTGGACCAAAATCCCTCGAGATGTGTGTAAACCTGGCAACCAACTACAAGAAACGTCTTACCTCTGTGCTTGCCAACAAGGGTTTATCCACCAAGTACTGAGTCGTGTTTTGCTTGGGGATCAAATACTTATTTTACTCACTGAACTGCAACTCTATTTGTAACATTTGTATCGTGTTTTTTCTGGATTTTTGTTTGATTTTTATTCTGTCTCTATTATTTAAAATACACCTATAATAAAAATTATAGACTGATCATTTCTTTGTAAGTGGGCAAACATACAAAATCTGCAGGGGATAAAATAATTATTTCCCCCACTGTATAGTTGCTATGGAGTTTATCCTCAAGTTTGCATTTTCCTTGGGCATCCCATACACCCCTTAACCTCACCCAGCTTATAAACCCCTTAATAAAATCACAAAACCAAGCTCAAAGACTGTTTACTGACTCTGAACACAACATGTGGAAGAAAATGTGTATTGCCTGGCTGTGCAGAGCTTTAGAGGAACCCAAAACTCAGTGAATCCTAAGGGGGTAGTGCTATAGTTGTAGAATGTAATATACTGCAGCTTGCAAATCCTTTGATAAGGCGGCTGCATCAGATTTCCTTTTCAGGCTAATGTTCCTTTATTTTCACCTGGTAATCCTGCCAATAACACATTTCCTGCATAGATCCCAACTGTCCCTGATTTGGAAGAATTGTCCTTCTTTTGAGATCCTTCTGTCCCTTGTGCAGCCTCAGCTATCCCTCTTTTTGGTTTGATGTGTACATCTCTGTACAATATGTACTATTTTACTACTAGAAGTGTTATGCTGCACTGAACGTTTTATCCAACCTCTATATTACTGCATTTGTTATTTTGAAAATCCAATATAAAGGAAATATAGAGGTAAAAACAAGCACTTGTGTGGCTTAGCCAATCATTATCTGTATATTGGAGCTTTGTGCTCTGTGTAACTGAGACTGTGACAAGGATTTGTCCTTTGCCTATATACTGTGTGCTAAAAGGTGTCCCTCTTTATCATTTCAGAAAGCAGGGAGGTATGCTTCCTGTTCTAGGGTGACACTGCTCACTAATTCTAGAGGAGCTGTGTTGTCACCCTGGGACAGGAAGTGGGCCAGGACTACAAAACACCTCCCCATCTTCTTCCTTAGGCCCCCATGTACATGGGACACTTCAGAACGATGGAAACGGACTGCTGGAAAACATAGGTTGAAAAACATCTGTTTAGCCGCATTTGCATAGCGCGTTTATGTGTGTTTGCGTTTAGAAGCGTTTTTTAAAGATAAGCACAGGAGAACCTCCCAAATTCAAGAATGCACTGTAAAGTGGTACATTATTAACTATTTCAGACTGTTTCAAAGAAATACAGAGAGTAGAAGCAGAGACAGCAGTATGTGTTGAGATTAGCGTAGGTGTGATTTGCTCATTAACCTCCCTGGCGGTCTGATTCTTTCCGATTTTTTGTGCTGAAAGCGGTACCATTTTTTTGCATGGAAATATGTAGTTTTTTATTGTAGGCTGTAATTATTAGGAATAACTCACTGTACGAACAAGAGTCTAGTAAAAATTCCGGATATGATAAAACTTGAAACACGAAATCATAAATTATAATTTAATAAATAATCATAAAAAATAATAATATAATAATAATAAATTTAATTCAATAATATAATAAAACCAAAAACACTGAAATTTGAAATACAGAGGCAAATTCGCATATCGCTGAGCAAAGTCGCAAAATCGTTTTCAGTGTCTGATGACGAATTTCCCCACAAATCATTATCACTCAATTCTGCAAGTGGTTCTGATTTACTATCGCTGTTCTAAAACTGCTTTTGACGTAAAGGGACGCTTTTTGGACGCCATGGACTTTTCTAAGTTTCCAGGCAGAAAGAACAGACAAAATGCAGGCAGGGCACAGGACAAAGCAGTAGGGACAAAATATATGTGAAATGCGTTGAAACAGCAATGACAGCAAAAATGAAATTTTTTTAAAATTTCAAATTTCCCGCCCCGTACGTCCCGACGTCACAGGGACCGGATCACGGAAGCCGGATGCTGGCATCAGCCGGAGGAGATGGCCAGGGACGCTGCAGGGGACACATCTCGGGAGTGAAGGACAAGGTAAGTGCTGCAGGGACCCCCTGAGCAACGCCGCATGGTAAGCCCGAGTGTAGCTCGGGGTTACTGCTCTTGGTTTTGAAATTTTACCCCGAGCTACACTCAGGAATACCGCTAGGGAAGTTAACATTTCTTTTGTTTCCAAGGCTGGAAAAGGTGTCTGGTGGAGTGAGTCATTAAGGTCATCTGGCAGGGGGTCTTCATGAGGAATTTGAGGTGTGAATGGTCATGAACATATCTTTTGTTTCCAAGGGTGGGAGAAGTCTGAGGTGTGAATTGGTCATTACAATGTGTGACAAGCTTGGTAGGAACATCCTGTGTTCAGTGTTTTGTCCATCTGACTACCTTTGCATGCATTTTTCATGATGAAAAAAGGCTCTGGACAGCATCGGGAACTGGAAGAGTTAAAAAAATGTTGCAAACACTTATAAGTGCAATTTGCCACGTTTAGCCGCGTTTACAAGCATTTTGCATTTGAAACACTGATAAAATCGACTGCTGAATGCAAGTTTTCTGCGTTCAAAAAAACGACTGTAAACTGTAATGCCTGTAAACGGCTGTAAACAAAGATGTGTACATGGGCACATAGGAAAACATTAGGGAGAGTTCAGGGGCTGCTGAAAAAAAAACGCTGAACAGCTCCTGAACGTGAGTTTATTATCTGCAGTGTACATGAGCCCTGATAGCATGGAGGGGAGGTATTTTGTAATGAGACCACATGAAACAATACTAAGTGATAACAGCAAAGGCAGAGATCAAAGGAAGTGATCAGTTCACTAGGTTTCTGGCAGGATCAACAAGTATCAGCAACTAGAACAAAGGATTGCAATAGACAATGAAATATAAGCTGTGGATTTTCTAGATCACACAATGCAGAGCACATCTGTGTGGTTGCTGGAGTAAAGGCAGAGATCTGACTGGTTGGTAGACTGTGTAAAGGAAGTCTTGCAGAATATTCTTAGATTGTTGTAGTTCTCTGGTTTTCTATATTTATCCCTTTAAAAGGGCAAGAAGCCACATAAGTCAAAAAAAGCCTCATACATAGCGCTATGAGCAGACAGATAGGAGACTGTAATTTCCTTCCCTGATATTCAATCTAGTGTGTTTGAATTCGGCTTTCTATTCATCCAGCAAATGCAAAATAAAAGCAGTAACACAATATGCCAGAGAACAAACAAAGGGGATTGCCAGTCCAGAATATACACAACAACAATGGAAATCATGTGGCTGGGGCTTTGCAGTGCTGGACATTGATCCATTCCCCATTGTCTGCAGACAATATACAGGTACTTGCAGCAATATTATCAAATACATTGTTACCGCAATACTAAGACTAGACGACACATTACACAAAAAAAAAAAATCAAAGCTAAACTGTATTCTTTCTTTTATCCAATGATAGAGAAGTACAAGCCTGGAACAATGTAGAAAAAAATATTTTAACTTTTCCCATAAAGTAGAATTCCAGGATTACTTTGATTTTTAAAAATTCCAGCCAAGCTGGCCCAAAAGGAACTATTTCCATTATTAATTGATGCAGCCTCTGTGTGTACCGTACCGTACTATACTGTAGTAGCCAGGGGCGGACTGACCATTTGGAAACTCGGGCCCGGGGTCAGTAGGGGGCACCATGAGGTGCCCCTGGTACCTTTTTCATAGGCTTTTATGAGTTTGGGCCAGGACACAGGGGCCCCATGATCCCCTATTGCCCGGGGGCCCCATGAGTTGTCAGTCCGCCCCTGGTAGTAGCATCAACTACATAAAGTAAGTGGCACTGTGCTTTGCAGCAGTATAGAGACATAAGCCTAGTACACATGATGAGAAAATCGGACGAATAACACCGCTTTCATGGCAATCGTCCAATAATCTTAGTAGCTTAGTACACAGCTTTCAAGAGCCGATCACGAGAGTTCATGCGAAATTACGAACGAATGAACAATTTTAATTTAATAGTACAGTAATCGTCCAAAAAAAATCAAGTGATCAGAAGCGAAAGAATACATTACAATACATTGCATCATCGTGGAAAGTGGTATTCTGTTGTACGAGAATTTTCATAACTTTAGAAACCTCTTAATTTTCGATATGAGACTAGTATACCAAAAAAACAAAACAGACAATCATTTGTTAGATATTCTCATCATGTGTACCAGGCTTTACTATCTTCTGCTGAAGCCTGATTGTTTCTCCTCCTTCCAGAAGGGGCCTTGCATTTTAAAAAATAATTATAAGGCTTCCTCTGATTGGCCATGGCAGAGAGATAGGTGGATAACATTGTGATTTCCACATCAGCCAGTCAGAGGAAGCCTTTTATTAATTTGAGATTAAAGTAAAAAAAATCTGAGATTCCCAGATGAAGTAAAAATTTTAAATCCTGAGGTAAGGACACAATTCTAAGAGAAAAGACAGTGTAGCACCCTCCTAGTTTAGTTAGAGGGAGCTAGACCCTAATGGCTAGAGAGGAGCTTATTAGTAGCTCAGGTGAGATAGTCAGAGGAGCCAAATTCTGGGATGAGAGACTCTGCAGGCCAGCCCCTCTGGAATTTACCCCTGCTCTGAGGCTTTCAGAGGAAGGCCTTGGAGGCAGTGAGTGGATCTGAGGAGTGGTTGGCTGCACTTTTGAGGGACCTCAGCCAATCCCCAATAGGAGGCTTGGCAAGGGGCTGGACTCCCTTAAAAGTGTTGGAGCCTGCTCAGTAGCAGGAGTGAGGTGCTGGGAGAGGAGTGTGGAGCAGGCAGATGTGAGACTGGAGGAGGGAGGCTGCCAGGAGGCCTAGAGGGATGGGGACTGCCTGGAGCTGGAAAGGTAGAAAACTCAAGACTCACTGGCCCCTTGAGAGAGGACCACCTGTATGGCAAGGAAGAAGCAACCCAGTTGATAGGCCTGATAAAAACAGCCATTCCGTAAGGATCTGAGTGAGTACCCCTACACCTCCTGGGTGGATAGGGAAAGCAGCACTACTGTGGAAAACCAGATTAGCCCCCTTCTAGTGACCGTGAACCTTGCTGGCCAGCACTCCAACAGAGATTGTGTGTCAGGGACAGAGAGAAGAAGTTTGTGAATAATCTAGGAAGTTCTCCTCAAACTTCAGTTCCCTTAGGCATCATATACATCCCTAAAATCTATCCAATTTTAATCCCCTCAATAAAACAACAAAACCAACGCTCAAGGCCTGATTTCTGTCTGTGGATTAAAGCTGTGTGGAAAATGCTAACTGACTGGCTGTGCAGGACTATAAGGGGATCCAAAATCCAACAGTAACCCCTAAGGGGGTAGTGCTACATCAGAATTATGAGATAAAAGTCAAACATAAAATCAGAATTCTAAGGTTAAATTTAGAATTCTGAAGTGAAGCCAAAATACTGGGATACAAGTCAAAATTTAATATTAAAGTCCTAAATCTGAGATAAAGTCAGAATTCTAAATCCTCTGATAAAGACAAAATGATGACACAAAAGTCAGAAGTCAGTGAATGACAAACTGATAAGACCTCTGTGTGCTTTGTACTATACTGTAGTAGCATCAGATACATACACTAAGGCTAGGTTCACATCTCCATGTTCCTGCGAGCCGTGTTTTGCGTGGGCATAAGAGCTCATTCATTTGAAAGGACTCCCATGCCCCGGGACAAGCAGGGAAGAAGTCCCTGCATTTCTTCGGAAAACGCAGCCTGCATGGGAACCTTGGTTCCCAGTACGGTTGCAATTTCCAGTGCAGGCGGTGTGCCATTAGAATTAATGGCACACGCCCACGAGTCCGCATTCCTCTGTGTGGGTGGTGCGGTTGCGTGGATTTTTGTGCAGATCCGCAGTGGCACCACCCGCACAGATGTGAACCTAGCCTTAAACAGGCTGTAGATGAGATGATTTTCTTTCCTGCAACCAGAGGTGAAGAAAATCACTCAATACCCATCAACACAGTTGGTGTTGATGGAGTAATCCCTTCTGTGGAGCTATTGCGTTCTACTAGCGGGGAGCAATAGAATACAGTGACTGCTGGGAAAAAACAATGATTATTGCTAGTGACAATAAACGATGGCAATAACTGCATACTAAAAAGTCCAAAGTGCGCTGGTTGTACCACGTTAATCTATGGATGCCCACAGACGCATCGAATCTCGGCTTGTTCCTGCTGAATGGCTGAAATTCGAACCATATATGACCGTTTTTAAGCGGAACTTCACCCCAAAAGGGGAAGTTTGGCTTTTCTTCCTCCTGTCCCCCCTCCTGCCATGCCTGGAATGTCTTTTTTTCATTCAGTGTTGTCACCCGTTCCAAAGTTCTCTACAAAGACAACTAGTGTATGTTCCAATGTAGCAAGTGTTTCAATCCACTGGCTCCTACGTCACTGGTAATGTAGGGTTGGTGAGACGAACTAAAAAATCCAAAATGCTGGTTGTACCATGTTAATAAATGGATGCCCACAGACGCATCAAATCTTGGCTTGTTCCTGCTGAACAGCTGAGATTCAAACCATATATTACCGTTTTTTATGCGGAACTTCACATAAGAGGGGAGGTATGGATTTTCTTCCTCCTACCCCCCTCCTGCCATGCTTGGAATCTCTTTTTTTTTTCATTCAGTGTTGTCACCCTTTCCAAAGTTCTCTACAAAGACTACTAGTGTATGTTCCAATGTAGCAAGTGTTTCAATCCACTGGCTCCTACGCAGGGGCGGACTGACAACTCATGGGGCCCCTGGGCAATAGGGGATCATGGGGCCCCTGTGTCCTTGCCCAAACTCAAAAAAGCCTATGAAAAAGGTACCAGGGGCATCTCATGGGGCCCCCTACTGACCCCGGGCCCTCAGGCAGTGCCCGAGTTTCCAAATGGTCAGTCCGCCCCTGCTCCTACGTCACTGGTAATGTAGGGTTGGTGAGACGAACTAAAAAATCCAAAATGCTGGTTGTACCATGTTAATCAATGGATACCCACAAACGCATTCAGTGTTGTCACCCTTTCCAAAGTTCTCTACAAAGACTACTAGTGTATGTTCCAATGTAGAAAGTGTTTCAATCCACCACGTCACTGGTAATGTAGGATTGGTGAGAAGAAGCACAAAGTGTATGGGGGAATAGGAAATCAATACATCCATAAATGTCAGAATCTGAAGAATGTTTAGTGGTTGATTTTGACTTACTACTGCAGTGATCAGCAGTGGGGGGAAGTAGGGGTGCTATGTAACTCTGCAGGGAAAACTTTATTTTATTATTTATTTTACGTGCGGAGTCAGTTTAAAAGTAAAAAGTACCTCTATATTTTCTTTCAATTCAATTTTCCCTTGCTCAGATTACTTTTTTATTGTTTTTAATGCCACTGCCCAAGGAATTACATGGGTAGAGGGGACACCCCCGACAACTGGAATCACAGCCATGACAACTCCCACCCTGTCCTTCCACATCCGCCCTGACTATCCACCCAGCAATTCATGGTCATCCCAATGGACGAAAAATATTTTCTTTAGACAAGCTGGAAATATGTGGCATTTCACTGTTGTTTTATTAAACCATTAATAGTAACAATACTCCCTAGCAGAGTTAATTATTTTAGTACTTGGACATTCCATCCTCCCTCTGACACGGAACATTGCCCACTCTGCATCATACTGGTATAAATACCTGTGTCAGCTATGTGATGGTTACATTGGACTTGTTACAAGGGAAACATGATGACCCTTCCTTGCTGAACAACAATGCTCAAATTTAATTTCCGTTATTCTCTCTGTTGTCAAGTGAACCTGTCATCATGCAGGAAAGTGTATCACGCAAAGGGTGGTATGGAATGGAAGGCACTATTAATTGCCAGTGTAATTTTTATGTTTTTTGGGGGCGGGGGTTTGGAGTTGATTCACAATAAGACACAATTCACAATATGCTACAACTACATCATTTAACAGCTTGTGCTTCTTATCATTAAAACCTAGTAACTTCGTCTAGGCTGAGATGACAACAGTCTGCTGCAAGCACAAAAAACATTTCCTCAGTCTCCTCCACAGAGTCAAGTCACAAGGTGAGAAGCTACAGCATGGGCTGATCTGTGTCAAATATTTGTAAACAAAGGCAAAAAAAATTGATCCCGTCTGAGGTTCCGAATGACAGTTCAGACATTCACATAAATTAACCCCCAAGTACTGCCATTTTATCAGACAAACAGCATGGAGCCACACTGGCCTTAATTAATTCCGAAATGCACTAAAACGTTAAAATACTGTAAACATATGGTGAGATCAATGTCATTAAAATTTCACTGTCTCCCTAAGTGCTTATATGCTAACTTCAACTTTTGACAGAGTACATAGAAAATCGGAATGCCCTTGCATTCAAGTAGTAGCCACCTTCTGTGGTCACCAGTAATGGCCCACATTTGCATGTGGTGGACCTCCTCTCTCTTGTCTTTTAAAGTAAGGGGCAGAGGAAAATGTAATTTCAGGACAAAGTAGAATTTCAAATAAGGTGAGATCTATGTTATTAAAATGCCACTTATAGCTTCAGCTTTAAAAATTGGAATGCCCTCCTATGCAAGCAGTTGCCACCTCCTGTGGTCACCAGCTCTTCCCACAATTGCTTGTGGTGGTTCTTCTAATTTTTTTTTTTTTACGTAAATGGCAGAGCAAAATGTACCTGTAGGACAAACAGTGATCTTAGATGATCACTGTCAAATGAGAGTGATCACCTGCTGGAAGCCCCAGTGACTAGCACCTTCACTGTGACCATTGCTGTCAGGGAGAGGTTGGATTTGGAAAG